TTGCAGGGTATGGGGGGCACGACATCTTTTTACACCTACTGAATTTTCCCTTTTTTCATTTTTTTACTATGAATCTGATCCATCATTACATTAAATCATAAAATATGAATTATTAGATTAGACATGATTTTTAATATTAAAAATATTTTAAAATATTTTTAATATATAATTTAAATTATATAATAATTTTTAAAATTTTTTATTCTCTAAAGAATATTTTTTAAAAAATAAAAAATAAAAAATTCAAAAGCACTGGACCGTTAATCATGGTTGCTTTACTTCTTTCCAAAGTGTGGCTGACAATACTTATTTTTTTTGGTACAGGCTGACGATATTTATTAATTTCATTATTCTAAAACTTTTTTTTTATGAACTAAAACTTTGTTTTGTGCTTATAACATCGGGATTTTACAATAATTTTGTTAATTTTATTAAATTTAGAACATACTTAAAATCATACTTTTATTATTATTTCTTGCTCAACCTATTTCCTAATTGTAGTAGTATCATGTACGGACGTCATTTATACGGAGTTCTTACATCTTAAGACCGTGTACGGGGGAGGGTAAGTTATTTCGGTTCACACATATTCCTCGGCGTAGTGCTAAGTAAGGCATGAAATATTTTTTAACACAGTAAAAGAAAACGAATTAGATACTTTGAAGCATATTTTTAGAACATAAGTCGGATTTTCTAAATTGCTTTCAATTCCCAGATTATTCGAAGAAGTGTTAGTGTGTGTTTACATTTATAAAATTTAAAACAGATTTAATTTTCCCATGTCGCTTACAAGTTACAATGCTTTTTAAAAAGTTGAATCCTCCAAAGGCAAAAAAGAAGAGAAAAGCATTTTTTTGTAGAAGTCACAAGTAGGCCAGAGGGGGTCTTATCAAAAATGATGCATGAAAATTGAATTAGATGACAAGAGTCCGCGCGCAAGAGGACACCATGGGGGTGAGGTGAGTCATCATGGAGAGTGAGTGACTGTGACAGTGGGTGCTGGAGCAGTAGGCCACCTTTCCCGGGCCATAAATGAGGGAATTATCCTCCCACCGTCTTAATTACTTTGCCTCTTTCTTCCTCACTCCCGAAGATAAACCCACTAATAACTTCTTTTCCGTCTGTCCATGTTCCTTCATTTGAGTTTGGATTGCTTTTTCCTTCTTGGGTTGGTTTTTTTTTTTTTATCTGTTTGTGTTTTTTGAATTCTGGGTTGGTTAGTTTGATTTGTGGGTAAAGGAAATGGGGACCGAGGAGAAAGCTGTCTCTCAGAAACGTGATGTTGGTGGTGCTAGTGCTAGCCAAGAAATTGTTGTTCCAGGACACCAGGTAATATTCCTTCTGTTTTTTTCTTCTGATTTCAGCTTTTGTTTGATTCTTGCATCATCTACGTGGAAAAAAGGTTAAAATTTTATGGCAAGTTTGGAACTTTTTGTGGCCACGTTTAGATTTTGGTTCTACATGTTGTTTTAGGTGTTTGTTTTTTGTTCCTTCGTCTCTGAACTGAAAAGGTTTTTTTGAATGACTGAGGCTTGGTTTTCTCTTCAATAGGCCCAGTTTTCGAACTTGAATTTATATGTTTTTGAAGAATTCTTTTCTATGTGAAGAATACTGTTTTGGGCATTTTTGTGCCTATGAATGAATTCTGGGGAGCTTGAATTTAGGGAATATAAACTCGAGGCCTTTGTCAAGCCAAGGTGGTAGATCTTTAAGGTGAACTTGCCGCTGAATGAATCCAATTTTAGCTGTTTCATATGTCTGTCAATTTTTTTTGCCTCTTGATCTCACAGTTTTCTGTAAATATATTTCACAAAGTTGGCTGACCTAGAAACAAGTCTAAGGTGGAAATTTTGTTTACTGAAATCTATTTCTGTTAATTAGATACTTCGGATAAGAGATTTGAATTTTGACATATGATGTTAACTTGTTAAGTTATACAGAGAAAAGCAATCACAAACAGCCTCTGTTACACTTTGGCTTTGGTTTGGAAGATGTTATCTTTATATATGCATACAGTAGATTCATGACCTTAGCTGAAACTCGGGCGGTAGAACAGTGGTTTGAGGTCTATTCAAAATGTCATGAAGTTACTCTTGCAAATTTCTCTTATCCAATTCTGAATAACTGTTATTTTTCCAGGCTGAGAACTCTTCTGGAAAAACTGAAGAAACATCCCATCTTCATCCTTGGAAGAAAAGAAATCTGTTCCTAGAGATACCCCCAAGAAGTTTGGCAGAGTCCTCTCAGGATTCTATTGTCATAAAGATGCCGCCTACACCTAGTCCAACTCCAAGGCGAGTAAATTTTCTCTTGACACAAAGTCAAAACGATGGAAGAATTAGTGAATTGCCAGGTCCCTCCACATCTAGAGGGAAATCATCCTTGAAAAATTTCTTACCAAAGCTGAGCTTCAAGCACAGAAGTTCTAACACAGATATTGAGAAGGCTGCAAACCTTGCTTCAGAAACATCTTCTACTTTGCAACAAGAGAAGCCCTCAATCTGTAGAACATCATCACTTACAAAGATATTTACTCCTAGAATAAAAAGAACTTCATCGCTGCCAGTAACACCTATTGCACAATCAAACTCAGAATCTTTACACACTGGAAATATGGGTGGTTCTCTGAATTCAAGTGTAAGTTTTATATGTTATTGTCTTTACTATTATTAACATTGTTACATTATCTATGGCATTGATAGGATTGCTTTTCTAGCAATGGTGTCTAAACTTTAGAGATGACAAGTTGGATTCTTTGTCTTTAATTTTGTAATCTGAGCAATGATACATCTGGCCACTTGAATCAACCTGTATTCATTTTAGAGTAGATTCATGTACTTGAAAGTGTAACTCTCTAATCTTTCCATCAAAGGATTTAAGGTTCCATTGTTTCAAGTTGCTAGTTTCTTTTGCAGAGAAGAGGAACCCCACAGAAAATTTCTCGGTCCCTTTCAGTTCCTGTTAACGACAAAGAAGAAAGCTTAGGAAGAATGGATTTATTTTTTCGAGTGATTGCTACAACTCCACGGCCAAAAGAAGGAGAGACAAATTCAAATGAATCTCCCACAGTGGATACTGGTATTTTCATTATCTTAGTTGTATTAGTTTTTTGTGCATGTATCTGGTGTACACAAGGATGCCACTGGCCTCAGTAGCAATAATTATAGCACTAGACTGCAGTTTTCTAATCTTCCAAATTCCAAGTGGTTATTGTCACTACATTTTATCTGTTAAACTTGTTAGCCCTACTAAAATTTTCAAAAGCAACATGATCACCTCCTCGTACAAGGCTCCTTTGCTTGCCAAGATGAGGAAGTCATAGATACCAACCAATCTCTAATCAGAGTATCATGATTCTGCAGAGAGTGACCCAGATGGTGAAGACATAACTGAAGAGGAGGCTGTTTGTAGGATTTGTCTGGTTGAATTGTGTGAAGGAGGTGAAACACTCAAGATGGAATGCAGCTGCAAAGGGGAACTTGCCTTGGCCCACAAAGAGTGTGCTATAAAATGGTTTACCATCAAGGGTAACAAGACCTGTGATGTGTGTAAACAAGACGTTCAAAACCTACCTGTCACTCTTTTACGGATCCAAAGTTCTCGAATTCGAAATGGAGCAAGTAGAACCTTGCAGGCAGATGTTAATGGATACAGGTATTTAACTATTTGTTAGTTGCTATTTCCTCTCTTTCCGGAGGAATGACTCTGTGCATCACATGGTTACAGAGAACTTGTAGACTGCAGAAGTTGAAAATAAAATATAAAATCATGAAGTAGCTTTTTCTTCCATTATTAATGAAGAGTTGATTTCATTAGTTCCATTTTATTTTTAATGGTAGAGAAAAGGATGTAACAGAGTTGCAAATTAGCTTTTGAAATGATAACCAAGAGAGTGACGCATTTAAATATCTTTTGTTCATCTTTGCTGTCTGACAACACCTATGGAATTTCTTTTCCCTTAGCTACTGTCTCAATTCCTTAGAGTTCTATTATGCTACACGCCACAAAGTTCACTAATGGAATGGATAAGTGCTTGAAAAGGGGTTATGTCAGACAAGCCAAATTAAGACAAGCCATAAAGACTGAACAATAAATCATAGAATTGTTCTTTATCATGTTCTATTTGTTTACATGTGTAGTTATTTGTCCATATTTAGAAGCTTGTCATATAAAAATGAAATATACCTAGAACTTACTTGTTGATGTCTTCCTAGGCTTTGGCAGGAAGTGCCAGTGCTTGTTATCGTCAGCATGCTTGCATACTTCTGCTTTCTTGAGCAACTATTGGTAAGCTAGAAGCTCCACTTTTCATTCATAGGTCATTTTACCATTCATCTTGATGACATCTATTGGCAATTGCATGCAGGTTGGCAAAATGGGTACCAGTGCAATTGCTATTTCTCTTCCATTTTCTTGCATTCTAGGTCTCCTTGCAGCCATGACTGCATCAACCATGGGTAAGCATTCATTAATATATATTTAAACACGCAGTCTATGGATTTTACATGGGAAGAGATTCATTGGACACTGGATATATTTATAACACGTCCATAAACATCCCTTTTGGGTTTCACTATTTTGATATGACAAATTTAGAGGCAGTCTAGTTACACAAACACAAGTTTGTGCATGTAATCATGTATACTCTCCAAAACCATAATAGACTACTTTGATAAACACTTGTTGCACCAGTGTCAGTCAAAAATCTGAACTTTGGCAGGATACTGAAATGGTTTTTTGAAATTCCCTTATTAACTCCATAAGATTTTCTGACACAATCTTTGCTTTTTGTGTTTAGTGATAAGAAGATTTGCCTGGTTTTATGCATCGATCCAATTTGCTTTGGTGGTTTTCTTCGCTCATATATTTTACTCCTTGGTAAGGGTCGGGTATCTCTGCTCAACACTTCCCCCCTGCATCTTAAGCTCAACTTTTGTCATCAGAATGACTTCACATTCTCTTGACGTTGAATATCCTGAACACAACATCTTCGCATAAAGGAATTTACTGAAATAAGCTTGCATTTTATGCCTTTTGGCTTGCAGGTTAGAGTGCAAGCAGTTCTATCAGTTCTCCTAGCAACTTTTGCTGGATTTGGTGTTGCTATGAGTGGTAGTTCCCTTCTTGTTGAGATCCTAAGATGGGGAAGACGATGGCAAGCTCGGTCACAGCAGCAGCAGCAACAGAATCATGGTTCCCAACCCTTGACACAATCAATCAACCATTCCAGCCTCATATAATTTAAACAGCCAAAACAGTATTGAAAATGCAGAAACTTCTGGCAGGAATTGGGTGGCTTTCTTCTTGGCTTGGTTAGTACGGTAGTAACTAGTAATGCATGCTTATAATGTGAAACATATATCTGCTTCTGTAATGTATCTGGGATAGGGTATTGTCTTACTTCTTTTTACTCAGACTAAATGATGAGTAACAGAATTGTACCAATTCATAGACAGAAAATGTTGAATAATTTAAAAGTTTGTAAAGTTTAATGGACACAATTTTATATTAAAAAATAATTGATATTCCTTTCGGTTCAACACACCTAGCAACATCTTCCGATTCAACCATTAAAATTTGCCTTGGAAAATTTGCTCGCTTTAAATTCAAATTTAAAAATATTAGTTTCTTAATGAATGAACTAGAATATATTATGTAGTACGTTAAATCGAAGGATGTACTAATCATTGTTCTTTTATATTTAGTTTTATTGTATATTGTAAGTATTTTAATATCCTTATAATAGCCACATTAGACTTCAGAACTTCTTTCTTTTCATTCCTATTACTGATTATATAATGTTTTCCAAACAGAAAATCCCCCAGCAAATATTTGTCAATGAGGATTCAAAGCTAAGGCTGGGCATTTTAAACCGAACCGATGAGTTACACGAAAATTGAACCAAAAAAATAGATTTGATTCGATTTTAATGGTTTTTAGTTTTTATTTTTTTGGTTTTGATATTAACCAAATATATTTTGATTTGATTTCGGTTGAATTTTTTAAAAATCAAAAACCAAAAATAAACCTTTTGAAAACCAAAATTAAGATAAATATGACAAAATATGATAAAATATGTGATAAAATATAATATATTATTAGAAAAATAATTGATTAATATTTATTTATCAAAAATCGAAATTGAATCAATTTTATTGATAATCAAACCAATTGGTTTGTAATAATTTTGGTTCAATTTTGATTTTCAAAATTAAAGAAAATATTTTTTGATTATTTTAAAACTGATTTCGGTTTTAACTGAAAACCGGTTTTACCCACCCTTATTCAAAGCTATGATTTTTGTATGGCCATGGGGCTGGTTCGGTTCGAGTCAAACCAGGACTGATCTGGTTTAACTTAGAACTAGGACTGGTCTAACAGTTTTGTTGGATTTGGACCATTTGGTGTTGCTACGTTACCAGAAACGAGACTGAACAAGGAGGAGACCATGTTGGTCTTGAAATTGGTCAAGCATGGTCAAGGTCGGTCTAGCTGATGTCTCTAAGCTAAGAAAAAATAAATCAAAGCGGTTCATATTAAAACCAAAACCAGAATCAAATTACCCCGTTGTATAAGTGGGTTGATTGTGTAGCTCTATTTTGCGCAAAACTAGATTGTCGGTTTGGGACAAAAACCGGCTGGAATCAACATGGTGCTTTTCATCCATCTTTATAAAAAAAAATCCTCACATCTTATCTTTCAAAAATTAGATGTAGAAAGGAGCAAAACTTCGTTGGGAAACCCACCCACCATTCTAGTGCGCCACAACTGGTTGAGTCCGGAGTAGTCGGGGCGAAACTCCAGATACCGTGCGGGAACCAAAAAAAAAAAAGAAAAAAAGAAAAAAAAAATTTGTTTAATAAAAATTTATTACTTCTTCTGGCTTTAATTTTTCATAAATTTTATACTCACCTCTTTTACCTTTTAATGACAACAATTAATTTGAAATTATATT